AGGCGGATGACTTCGACATCCCAGAAGGAGCGCTGGGCTGCAGCCGTGGAGCACTTTCCCCAGTGCATCTGAATGAAGTGTTGCTCGGACCCAGAGGCCGGGAGGTTTATTTACAGCCGCATCGATTCTCTGTCAAAACCGATGAGGGGTTTGCCTGGGTGGGTGCTGGGAGCCAGCAAGTGCCTGCCCTGCTTCTCCTCCTCCTTCACTGGAGAAAACAGGGGCCAGGCGAGCCTTGCCGTGTCCACAGTGCACCCGAGGAGTGCGGGAAAGCTTAGCAGCAGCAGTGCTGTGCCGAGCACTGCTGAGCTCCCGGCAGGTCCTCGCAGCACCGTGCAGCCGGAGAGGCTCTGCCCGTGGCTGCTGTGGGGCTGTGGGGGGAGTGGGCAGCGTGGGCATCTCCTGCCAGCTCGGCAGCGATGGTAATGACGGGGCTTGGTTTGAGATCTAGAGGGAACCAGCAGCCCTCAGAGGATGCAGGAGCACCCAGGGAGCAAACCGTCCCCAGCGGCCGAGGGCGGTGTTTGGGGTCACTGGCAGCCCCAGGATGAGCGGTGGAGGCTGCTGGCGCGCTGACCCTCTGCGGCACATCCAGCAGCGCTCCTGCCAGCGCAGAGGGATTTGAAGGTTTCCTGGCTTGTGTCTCCCCAGGAACCTTCCGAGGAGTGTGTAAGAAGATCGACCACTTCCCCGAGGATGCGGATTACGAGCAAGACACGGCTGAGTATCTCCTCCGTGAGTCCGCTTCCCTGTGCACCTCGGAGCTGCGCGCGCTCCCTGGGGACCCCCTTGCCCCCCATCACGCTGGCACCCTCCTCCCCGTCCCCCAGCACCCAGACCTTCACCCAGCAGGTCCCTCCCTGCCACTGCTGGCAGGCGGCCGATGGGTTGCAGCCCCCCAGGCTCCCTGCACAGCAGCGGTGACCCTCCGGGTTACCCGAGCGTGGCCATGTCACGCCGCAGTAGCAGCGTTAATGGTGCGTTTGTCTGGCACTCGCCGTCCCCGTGGCTGGTCCTGGCAGATGCTGCGCAGCCTGAGCTCGTCGGGGTGCAAGGATGGCCGGGGACAGGGACCCGGCGTGTCCCTGGTGTGGCACCGCAGGGGTGCTGTGTTCATGCTGGTCCCCAAGTCTCTGCAGCCAGGCTGGATTCGCTGGCACTCGCCGGGAAAGCACAACGAGCATCTGCCGTGCGCTCTGCCGGCAGCAGCCCAGTGCTGGGAGAGGGAGTAAAAACAGAGCCGGTGGCTCTCCTGGGAAAAGCAGGGTCCTCCTGCTCTCGGGGACTAGCGGAGCCTCTGGGCAGGATCCGCAGGGTTTTTACATGGGGGGACCTGACGCTGGGGTGAGGCTGACCCTGCAGAGAAGAGGCACAAGCGAGCACTGGGGCATCAAGCCACGGGGTGACAGATGCTGGACGCTACCGGTGCACACCCTAACATGCAAAGCAACACGGACGTGCACCGCCGGCAGGTTGGCAAGCGTGTGACAGACTGCCAAGCTTGCACAGCAAAAGGTTCATTTGAACACCTAAATTTCCAAACGAGTGAGAACATGGCAGCCTTGGAGGCGTTGGCAGCTCTGGGATCTGTCTGAGCTGCTGGGGTTGGGAGGAATCCCTGGGGGCGAAGTGACCTCCAGCACCCATTGCCCTGTGCTCAGCCCCCATCCCCAGGCTGGGCAGTGGCCCCTGCCTGATGCAGCTGCTGCCTATCCAGATGTTGCTCTGAACTCCCCATTTGCTCACTTGCAGGGAGCCATCAGCTCTGCTCACCCATCTAAGAGGGGAATGTGTTTAATGGAATTGGTTTGCAATTTTAGTAGATTAGCGTTTAAGTTCTTCTCCCACCCCCTCCCACATTTAAAACAAAAAGTCTATTTTAAAGCCCCCAGAATGGCATTTTAATGGGGCTTCTCTGTATTTCTGTGCTTTTAATAAAGGCCCTGATAGAGGGATGAGAGCCCAAACCAAGGCACAGTGTATCTTCAGTGCAGCAGGTAGTGATTTGCTGCATTAATTACTCTTTACTGTCATTTTGGAAGCTGAACTTCTGATAGGCTGTGTAGAAAAGACCCTTCTTTGTGTAGCTCTTGGTCAGTGACTCCTAAGCACGCAGAGATGGGTCCTGCCAGAGCTGATCCCCTCGGGGATGGAGCCCAGTGCCAGGGTCACGGCGTCACACGCGGTCTTGGGCTTTGTGTTCATTTTGATAACCTTCCTGCCTTATATCAGCAAAAAACCCCTTTTTTTGTTGAACTTTAGGTGTGTTAGTCTTCCTGCCTTATATCAGAAAAAAAAAACTTTTTTTTGTTGAACTTTAGGTGTGTTAGTCAGTAAATTCATGACTTTTGAAGCAGCTCCAATAGTTTGGGGACCCAAGGGACAGGTTCCTGACACTTGTGGTTGGCAGTACTGTTCCTCGCCAGCCTGGTGAGAGCTGGAGGGGAGGTCTCTGCAGTCCCTCGGCTCCAGAGTCACGTCCATAGCCTAAACCCACGGGTGGTGTGTTTGGTAATGGGAAGGTAAATTGCTAGTGCTGACTGTGTGACAAGACTGGAAGAAATAAATCCTTGAAATAGCCTTGGAGGGAAGAAAAAAAAAAAAGAGAGAGATTCAGGGTTTAAACTATTTTTGTGGTGGGAAGCCTGAATCACAGAGTTTGCAGGGCTGATGCTGGGCTCCAGAGCAAGCTTGGAGCAGAGCAGCTCGAGGACAGGCAAAAGATGCATAGGAGGGGCCGGTGCTGGGTCTCCCCACATCCCTTGTGGCAGCAACCCAGTGTGGCATCGCAACGAGTCTTTCTGGGAGCTGGCGTTGGTACAGGAGATGCCGGCAGCCCCCACTGCGGGAGCGATGTCAGGGGCCAACCCTGCCCTGCTCCCTGTCCTACAGGTGCCGTGAGAGCATCCAGCATCTTCCCCATCCTCAGCGTGGGTCTGCTGTTCTTTGGGGGCCTGTGCGTGGCGGCCAGCGAGTTCTACAAGAGCAAACACAACGTCATCCTCAGCGCCGGCATCTTCTTCGTCTCTGCAGGTAGGAGCTGCCCGGCGGTGGTGGGAGCAGGGCGGCTCTCCTGGCGTGGAAGCGTTGGGAGGACACAGGGAAGCGGGAGATAGGTTGTGGGTCCTTCCAGGCTGTTGGCACTGAGGGATTCTGGGGTTTGTGAGCTGTCCTGTCCCAGTGGAAAAATCCTCATCGCAGGGGAAAACCAGCAGAGGATTCTGGCAAGGGGTCACCGTGCCAGACAGCACTTAAGGCATCCACCCTGCTCTGCCCCGAGCAGTCTCCACGCAAGCGCTGCAGCCCAGGAGGGGCTCCTGGAGGGCGGCCATCACGCTGGGGGAGCACCCCACCCCAGGGCAGGTTTTGGGGGGCTCTGCCCTCCATCACTGCCAAGCGGTAGGTCTTGGGACCAGGCGAGGGCAGGTGCTCAGTTGGCAGCACCAGGGACTGGGCGGCAGGCAGAGGGACTGCCACAGTCCCACAAGGAAAACCCCTCTTGCGAAAGGCCGTTCCTTCTGGATTACTCATTTCTCTGTGCACTGTTCCCCAACGCTTCCACTGATTATCGTATGACAATGTCTTTGTCTCAAGGAACTGCTCTATTTTGTGTTCTTTCTTCTCCCTACAAAGAGACAAATTACTCTCCCTCTTTTGCCTGGCAGGAGCTGCTGATGCAGATGAAAAAACAACAGAAAGAACATAATCGATTCATTAAGTAAATCCAGGAATACATCAGCCACTCCCCATCCCTGCGGCACAGCCCTGCCGTGCTGCTGGCGGTGCAAAAACTGCCCAGATCCCAAATAAAGCCTCCGGCCTCCACCAGAAATTAAAAGAGACAGAGCCGTTCCCCCTTCCCTGCTCCCTGGGCTGCGGAGAGCCGGGATTTGTGCCGGAGGGACCCCCTCCATGCCCCGTGGGTTGGCTGTGCTCCGGCCACAGCGCTGGCGCTGGTTGGGCTCCTGTGGCCCATTGCTCAGTGAGCAGCTCTGCAAAGCAAAACCAGCTCTTGAAATGTCCCTTTTCTAGACAAAATAGTGGTTGTTCCTTCAGTATACATGAGTATACATATCACAGAATCACAGAATCTCCTAGATTGGAAAAGACCTGTAAGATCATCTAGGCCAATCATTAACCCAACACTGACAAGGTCACCACTAAACCATGTCCCGGAGCACTATATCTACACAACCCTCAAATATCTCCAGGGATGGGGAGTCCACCACTGCCCCGGGTAACACTTTCCAATGACTGATGGCGCTTTCAGTAAAGAAATTCTTCCTAATATCCAATCTAAACTTCCCCTGGAAGCCATTTCCTCTTGTTCTATCACCTGTTACTTGACAGAACTGGTCAACCCCCACCTCTGCCACCTCCTTTCAGATAGTCGTAGAGAGCAATAAGGTCTCCCCTCAGCCTCCTGGCTGAACAACCCCAGTTCCCTCAGCTGCTCATCATAAGCCGTGTTCCAGACCCCTCACCAGTTTCGTTGCCCATATATACTGGGTGGATGTGACTATGGATGTATACTGGGGACAGCAGCAGAGTCTATGAGGGGTTTTGGCCCCGGTGTGCTGGCAGGTGGGTTGGTGTCCCATGGGGATGCGGCCATGGCCTCTGGCACCCTCCCTGCCTGTCGGACACCCTGTGGGTCGCGGTGGGCAGGGCTCCTCCAGCCTGTGTCACTCAGCTGCCAGGAGGGGATTGGGGTGCTGCTGTCCCCCATCCCTCTCCTGCCACTCAAGCGAGCGCCTCTCCCTCTCGTCCTACCCTAAAGGTCTCAGCAACATCATTGGGATTATAGTCTACATCTCGGCCAACGCGGGGGACCCAGGGCAGAGCGACTCCAAGAAGAGCTACTCCTATGGCTGGTCCTTCTACTTCGGAGCCCTGTCCTTCATCATCGCTGAGATGGTGGGGGTGATTGCCGTGCACATGTACATCGAGAAGCACCGCCAGATCCGTGCCAAGTCCCATTCGGAGCTGCTGAAGAAGTCGGCCTTCACCCGCCTCCCTCCCTACAGGTACCGCTTCCGCCGGCGGTCCAGCTCCCGCTCCACCGAGCCCCGGTCCCGGGACATGTCACCCGTCAGCAAGGGGTTCAGCACCATCCCCTCCACCGACATCTCCATGTTCACCCTCTCCAGGGATCCCTCCAAGGTCACCATGGGGACGCTGCTCAACTCGGAGCGGGACCACGGTTTTTTACAGGTCCATAACTCCATCCCCAAAGAGTTCAAGGAGTCTTTGCACAACAACCCGGCCAACAGACGAACCACGCCGGTCTGAGGCGGGCAGGGGCGTTATGTCAGGCTGCATGACATCATCCTTGTGACGGTGTAACCCGTGAAATCCTGTTTTTAAGGACAAACCCAGATGGTTCCCTGTGCCCCTCCCCGCGGGGCTGTTTTTTCACTCCTGAAATGCCACTGGCCGGGCCAGGCCACTGCACCCACGGTGGGACCGGGACCCCTGCGCCCCCTCCCTCCCCGGCGGGAAGGGGACAGGGGCTGCACTGTGACCCTGGCCGTGCTGCCCCTGCGGACTGAGCGGGGCTTCTTCCATCACCACCCGGGACAGTGGCTTCCCGAGGTCTCCATCGTTAATGTTGCTCATAATCGCAGTGTTACCTTAGCTGTATGTCCCATGGAAATGCTGGCGATAGCCCTGTCTGTGAGAATCCTTAATCTGGTAGTTACATTTAAGCGAAATTGCCTGGAAGTCTGGAGTTTGCAGCACCGAGTCGGTGCCGTAGCGAGCGCTCGTGTTACGAAACCCCTTTCCCTGTCGTGATGGATGGAGTGCTCAGGCTGGGTTTCTCTATGGCGTTTCGTGCATGCATTAAATAGCTTGGAATTCAATTTTGTCATGTCGGGTTGGAAGAAACATCCTTTTGCAATTTTCTGTGGTCTTGAAAGGGCTTCTTTCTTTCCTTCTTTCTTTCCTTTTTTCTTCCTTTGGTACATTCAGGCCATGAAAGGACTCAGGAGCAGAATTCCTCCAATGACTGGTAGCGATTAGCCAGCGTTTAATTAACCTCTAATGTTGCAAGAAAACGAATTAATTCCCTAAAATTAATACACACGCGGTCACAAATTACTGTCTGGGCACAACCAAGGAGGCGATGCTTGACCTGATGGTACTGAAGGCGAAGCTGGGTTGATGGCCGGGCTGCTGGCCGCGGGCTGCGTGCGGATGGTGTATGATTCTCTAATGGCTGGGAGATGGATGAGAAAAATAACAATAAAATCGTCCAGTTTGGCAAGCAAGTTACTTGGCTGACTAGGTCGCGCTGACCCTGCTGCGGGCAGCTGGAAAACCGCATGCTGTGTCCCAGGGGTGTTTGGCGGCAGCCTCGACCTCTCCGGTAGCTGCGTGGGGTGCCCGGGCTGCGGGGAGTCTGGGGGAGCAGCCCCCCTTTAGCCCCCCCACCTCGCTCTCCTGCCCGTGGTGGTGCTGCCCTGGTTTGTGTAGCGGGGGAGGTTGGTGGGGTACATGGGGCGCTGCGGGGTGGGGGGCTGTGTGTGCAGCCCCCTCCCCCCCCAAAAAACCCCACGCACTGACAAGGTGAGTGCCTCAAGGAGAGTGGCTCAGAAAGCCATTTCCCCCAAAAAGTGCTGCAATGGGGTGACGTCCCCTCCCTGGGGGTGGCCGGACATCCCCCGAGGCAGCTGTGGCAAGACCCCTTTCCCAGGGAAATGCTGATTTCGGAGCCAACTGCAAGTCCCCCTTGGGGAGCATCTCTCTGAGCTGCTTGGTGGGGACGTGCCAGCTGCCTGCGTGGTGTGACAGCCAGGGGACGGTGCAGGCTGGCAGGGAGGACATCAGTCTCTAAATGCCAAAGCGTATGCGTGCAGCCGGAGGTTTGGCTTTAAACGCCGAGCTGCCTTCTCTCGCTGGAGCAGAGCTCGTCTAAACGGAGGCGGTTTTGAAGTAGCCGGTCTTACAATTTGACATGTCACTTAATTGAAATCTTATTTAACCTTCTAACAAAAGTGATGGATTCCCACGGAGTCCCTGGGGGGGGGGCTCATTAGGCAGCCACAGGTAATCTGGGGCCAGCGGAGCTCTCATTTACTCATGCTCTCTTGCAGAAGGGAAACATCTGGTGCCTGGTGTGTGTTCCGTTGAGCAGCCGTGCCCGCGGTCTCCCAGCCAAAGCCAGAGCGTGGCGGGGCACATCTTAATCCTTCCCGGGAATAAGAGGCAGGTCACTGTGGGAAACCCGACGTGGGAACTCTGCTGGAGCGAAATCCCTCCCGGAGCCCCTCAAACAGCCCCGGCAAAGGCTGTCCGGCCCTCGGCAGGTCCGGGCTGTGCGAGGCTGCAGACTGTGTGCAGGTTCTTCATCTGCCTTACTGTATATTTGGCACTATTGCAAGGGGGGTTGTGTGAGAAGACCGATTCAGATGCTAATTAGGCCTCTTAATTGCCATAGTTGCTGATTGCATGTATTAAAAACAGTTGAGGAAGCGTAGCACTCTGATCTTAGGGAAATATTTAAAAACAAAGTAGTGAAAGGACTGGCTGTGTGAAACGCGGAATAAGCTGCTTTTTAACTTACCTGGTGTGTGGCTGCTGGTCTGGTGGGGGCTCCTGCCCAGCTCCCTCCCACAGCCTCCAAGCAATCGCAGGGTTTGCTTTATTAACACGTTAACGCACCCCAGAGCTCTGGCTGTCCTTGACAAAGATCTGAAATTAAATCCCTACAGATAATTAATCTGTTGGTCGTGCTAGGGAGGTCTGCGTGCTCAGCCAGAGCGCCCCCCCACCAAGCCCTGCCGCTTCCCCGGAGCGGAGCGGTAGGAATCCCGCCTGGGACCAAGGGCTCCCGGCCAGGCAAGGGGCAGGAGGGATGCTCGGAGGGGAAGCTGATGGGCTGACTGCTGGGATCGATGCATGCGGAGCGGCGCTTTTAAGCAGATCGTTAGAGACTCTGATCATGAAAGCCACACCGAGACCTTCATTTACTGTCCCCCCTGTGCCGGCGGTGTTATCCGCAGCGGTGCTGACCCTGGGAGGGGTTATGGTGCTGCAGGTGGGGGTCTTGCTGCGGCTGCCCCCGCGTCGCACTGAGCAGCCCCGGTCCGGAGCCTGGCTGCTGTGGCACCGTAACAGCCCTGCCCGGCTGCAGAGGCATCACTGGCCTCTAGATTTTATACACACACACGCTTTGTGCCTTAAAGGAAAGATGTATTATTTTTCTTTCAGAATTAAATCTCCAGAAAGTGGGCTCCAGCCGAGTCACTGAGTGCTGCAGGTAAGGAACTCTGTTTGTCTCCATCAGGCAAAGCAAAGCACATGCACAGAGTACATTTCAATTAAACCCAAACCCCACAACAGCAGCAGCAAAGCCCTGGCTGTGCAGGAGGCTCCTTTTTGGCCTTTGCCCCGGCACAGTGTGATGCCCAGTGCGGTTTGAGCCCTCCTTAGCAGGACGGGTGGCTGTCCCTGTCCCTGGGGCAGGGCTGGCTCCTGACATCGGTGCGGTAGTTGTCAGGAAGATGCCTGACCAGCTGCAGATAAATTAACTCCTGCGGCATGGCAAGTGTTGATAATACAACTGGAAGTGTTGTTATCATTATCAATACTGCTGTCGCTATATAGTTAATGCCATTGCAGCAGTAAATCAGAGTAATCGTTTTTCAGGGAGTGGGATGCTGTTGTGCCGTGTCCTGTGCACACGCAGGACGCTCTGTGCCTTCAGGTGTCATTAAAGCCACAGTCTGGGCAATTTGCAGTGCCAGTGTTTTTCTTGAGGGCCAGTGAGGCAGGAGATCAGTTGGGAAAGGATTTTGCTTCGTTTCAAAGAGAGGATTGATTTTTCTGAAGTTAACCAAGTTATCCCTTAAGTAATTGAAGAGAAGCAGGAGGTGCTCCAGGACGTGTGCTGGCTGTCACCTTCCCCTGCGCCTTGCTGGGTGCCACGAGGCAGGTGCGTGCTGGAGAGTCAGACAGCAAACTGTTTTTTCTTACTTACTAAATTTATGACCTGAAGCTGTTTGTTTCTGAGGGAGCTTAACTCCGGGCACTGCTCCTTCTAGTGCCATTGCCCTTTGGTTCCAACCTCTGCGACTCATCTCGGTCCCGCAGCTGGCTCGCTGCAGGGCTGCTGGCGTAAAACACCTCCGGTGCCGGTCAGATGAGCAGCAGGGAGAAGACCCCTAGAGCATCAGTGGTGCCTTTGGTGTTGGGCTACCTGTACAGCACCCGCGTGAGGAGCTCCTGAACAGAACTGTTAGACTAGACTAGAGTAGAGTATTTCAGGTGGAAGGGACCTACAACGATCATCTACGCCAACTGCCTGACCGCTTCAGGGCTGGCCAAAAGTCAAAGCACAGTATTGAGGGCATTGTCCAAATGCCTCTTAAGCACTGGCAGGCTTGGGGCATCGACCACCTCTCTAGGAAGCCTGTTCCAGTGTTTGTTGTTTTTCTCAGTAAAGCAATGCTTCCTAATGTCCAGTCTGAACCTCCCTTGGCGCCGCTCTGCACCATTCCCACGCCTCCTGTTCCTGGATACCAGGGAGAAGAGAGCAGCACCTCCCTCTCCACACCCCCTCCTCCAGAAGCTGCAGAGAGCCACGGTCCCACATGTGGAGGGGACCGAGTGACCAGGCAATATATGGCCGGGACCGCAGCACTCATCCTCAAATCGTTCCACGACGGTGCATGGCCAAACCGGGTAAAGTGTCCAACGGCAGTTTGGGGAGAGGTGAGGGAGCGGCAGCGGGGGCACCGTCACACGAGGGCTGGTGCCTCTGCAGCCGCTGGGCAGCTGTGGTCGTACAACTGCCCTGAGCATCTTCGTGTTGCAGTGCTGGGATCGGTCTGCAGCCTCCTGGGGCGCCGCGGGGCCATTTGGTTATGAAGGGAGAGCGGGCGGCCGGTGATTGAAGGTGTTTACTGCCACGTGTAATATCTTTCCTTCGTGCCGATGTCTTTCCCCTGGAAGAGAAAATCAATACCCAGGCTAAATCTGGAGGCTTCAATATTTTTCAGAGAAGTGCAAATCAATATGGATTTCTTAACAAGTTTAATTTCAATACCTGAAAGTGCACATTCTGCCTATTTCCTGACCTTTCCAATCCTTCGGGGAGGAAGATTAAAAAGATTTGTTCAAATTCAACGAATTGAATCAGCAAACGCCCCATTACCTTGTTTTCTTTCTGCCAGACCTTGATAAACACTATGATAGGCCATCGTCATTGTGTGGCTCCTGGTGCCTTGCGCAGCGCCATTCCCAACACCGGTAGTGCCATCCCACAAGCAAGGGCAAGCTGGGGCATGGATCCCGATGCCAATGCCCATAGCCATCTCCATCGGGGGCACAGTAGCCCAGGGCGGTGATGAAGGGGATGGGTGTCATGTCCAGATGCACCCGTACCCCCTTCTCCGAGTCCCAGCGGTCCCACATCACAGAAACAAACCCAATCCTACACTTGCTTCTGAGCAGCCTGATTTAAGGGTGCTGCAG